GGGGGGGGGAAAGGGAGTGGGGGGGGGGGGGAGCAGGCTCCAGGCAGGGAATTGAGGGGTGGGCAGCGAGCATCCACAGGTGGGAACTGGGGGTCCAAGAGGGTGGGGTGGGATTGTGGAGCTAGCAGGGTTTGGAGGGGGTGGGTGGCTCTTCCCCTCCCCACCCCGCCCAGGATCAGGGGTTATTTTTAGGCCCCCAACCTCCCTCACTTCCAGATGAACAACCCTCCCCATAGTGAAACAATCCTCTCACGGGTTGGATGGTTCATGGGGGTGGAGGGGGGAATGTGGGTGTTGTCCATCTGGGAATGGGGCAAGGGCCTGGGAGGCTAAAAATACCCTGGTGCCAGAAGCAGTGTAGGAAAAGCACAGTCCTAGGGCTAGGGCCAGCCGCTGGGCTTTTGTAGTCCTGGGGCTGTGCAGAGAACATACAGAAGTTCAGTTAAATCATTCCCATCAGACCTGACCTAAATTAGACTATCCCCAGCCATTTTTAGACTGATCTACTATCTTGAATCTGTACAGTTCACATTTAGAACCATCTAGGGATCCAAGTGTAAATCCATACCTGGGATAACTAAGTTTAATTGAGTGACCATTTTTACTGCAATCTAACCTCCCCCTAAACTCCCAGACATCTGTATGTACCCTAATTGGCTAAAAACTATTAATTTATGCTGAAAAGAAAGCCAGCTTTCTACATTGCCTTGGGTAAGTCATGATATCTCTCTAAAGCTCATTTAACATACTTCTTCTATAAGGAATAATCACAATTACCTTCCTCGCAAAGCACTTTTTGAACTCGACGAATGCCAAGTGCTATAGATAAACTACACTAAACACTATCAGTCCAAATCTATTTTCTCTCCTTTCCCCAAAAATACATTTTTATAGCAGTGTTATTAAAAAAAAAAAAGAAAGAGGGAACACATGAACAAAAGAATGAACAAAAGAAAACAGCTACTGAAAGTACTAGGGTTTTGCATATCTGAGGGAAAATGAGACAAGTACAAACAGCACTAATTCATTCCTTTTTCCATCAGAATACAGCTTTTTCTTCATTACAGCTGGATTTATACCAAAGCAGAATTGATAAATCAGAGCTGATCCTATATGTACAGACATATAAGGAAATGTCTTTACCTCTAGGTGACCAAAGCTAATTGACCAAAGTACTGATCATTGTAACCTAATAATTTCTATTGGAAAGGCAATTTAGCATGTGACTTGCAATAGTAAGGTGAAAGAGGAAAAAGTTTCAATTTATTTTAAACCCGGTTGTTTTGCACACTGTCAGAAACAGAAGCAGTTGCATATGTTTAATTACATTTAAGGTCCATTCCTGAAAGGTATGTTGACTGCATGATGCAATGAGTTATATCTATAATCTGACCTCAACACCATCCTTGCTATGCTCTACCATTATTGTAAGAGGAGAGAAGATAAAACCCAATATTCTTTTCAATAGCTCTTATTACAGACTTGAATCTGCTCCATTTCAATTCATTGCGAAAACCTCATATGTTTTTGAAAGTGAAAGATCAGAATTTTTTAACTGCCCATCCCCATCTTGTTACAAAAAAAAAGTGATTTACTTTAATAGTTGCAATTTACCCAGAGAGATACTCATTCCCCTATCTTGTATACCTTCATTTTTTTCCTACTGTTTTCTGAAAAAGTTTCACACAGACATCAACTTGCTTTTTTCTCCCATCCATCCCGTCTTTTATTTTATCTCATAATTGTTGAGGCCGAGGGGCTGTGGCCAGCAGCCCGGGCACGGCGGACTAGAATTAGGCACTGACGCGCAGAGGTTGATTAAAGATTATTTTACTTACACCGTAGATGGTCACGATGCAGGCAGGAAAACTTGCTTGGTTACAGTTACAGATGACACAAACGGAGTTTGCTAGGCTCCACCAAACGAACACGAACAAGACCCGCAGAAAACTCGAGCCTCTTGTTAACAAACTGGACAGAGCTCTGGATACACACACACGGGGTTTGCTAGGCTCCGTGGAACGAGCGTGCAGGGCAGGGGTACATTGAGGGATCATGCAGCGACAGGGAGAGGCAAGAGGTTGATCAGGCCCCTATATCCTCCTCTAAGGCACACGCGAAGTTTGTTAGGCTCCACAGCGCGCTTAGAGTTCTCCACGAGATGGATGTGGAGTCCTCCACCTTGGGCGGAAACTGCTCAAACCTCTTATATGGCTAGCAAGCCAATCGCTAGCTGCCACGTGGGAATAATTTAGAAACAGCCAATAATGGGGAACAAATTTACATACGGGTGGCGGGAACTCCTTTGCACCAGGGTTTTTCTCTCTGCAGCTGAGAATTGCACCGTGCAAAGAAAGCTCCATGTGGCGGGAAAGAATTCTGCAGTGCCAAAGCGCACACAAAATCATTGGGTCATGACAATAATAAACCAAGCATTTTTCCCTCCGTGAGTTGAGAGAGCATCCTGACTTGGACCAGGATGTTTTTTCTTTCCTTCCTCTACTCATACATTTCTGATTAACCAGTTTGGGCTAGCCGAGATGCTCATTTTTCTTTGTTTTGTTTTGCTTTTTAAACTATGTAAGGGTTTTACATAGTCCTCATTGCTATTTATGTTAGGCAAAAATATCTAGAAATAGTAAACAAAAAAAATATCTTAAATGAAGTTCCCAAAAGCATAAAATAGGGAGAAATATAACTAAGACAAAAATAAATGAAAATAATTAAATCTTTGTTGCTGATATATTTATTGTATTCCACTATGATTCTCCCAGGTGCTACCTGAATAATACATAAGCTAGTAATGACACCATGTGTATTACACTGCCCTTGATATAGGAAGTTTGACCTATATTGTAGTATGATACATTGAAGCCAACACAAGCTCACAAATTAAATTCATGGATCAGTTAAATCTTTACAGGCCTATTTTTCATAATTTAACCACTATAAGATGACAAGAACAAATTGTTTTGTTTCTGATTCTAAACCAAGCAGTTTAGTTATTTATTAGGTCCTTGATGCAAGGAATTTGAATCTGCTTAATGCTATATTCCACTATACTATCCTACCATCCATCTAAGAAGGATAAGGGTGTTTTCTTGTAGAAAGTAAGAGATACAAGATGGAGATACCTCCCACCCATTTTTATTTTCTAAACAAGTCACTGTTCCCATCTTGAGCATGGAGACTTCATGCGCCTTATGGTATGTATATGG